TCCTTCATATTCTAATCGTGATTAAAATTCCTTTCTAAACATTTCGCAAACCAAATGTGCCCTTAGAAGTCACGATAAATTCACATTTTGACAAGGGGAGCAATATTCATCTGAATTGAAGCCAAAAGAAGTTTGTTAAAGGGTGTTTGTATATCCATTGAAAATGACTAGTCGACTTGACATAAATAACCATTTTTAAGAGTTCAACAATAACTCATTTTGATTATAATAACCAAATCGTGGATGTAGGTAAAGAATTGCATTAAAAAGTGATTATTGAGATTAAAGTAAATTACATTACTAACTCCCCAAAAAATCTCAAGCAAATTATACAAATTGAAGGCACCAAAAATCAGGGTAAGCTACTTGCTAGTAGCCTAGCTTTCAAACTTCTTTCTAGATTAAGTGTTCTGACTGTCTTGATTTCAAGTAAAGCACAAACTTGATTGGCTCGTAGAAGAAATAATAGGCTGAGACGTTTTTGAGATAAATTGCAGTAACCAAACTTAGATATTTATGCAATGTTTAAAATATAGACATGTTTCAGATAAAGAAGTCAAGAAATCAGTGTGGGACAGAAATTTCAAAATTGTTATGTTTTACCATTAAACTCAACGGAAACAGAAGTATTACAAACACACCAAGGAGGCAGCAGGTGAAACTGTTGACCCTTTTTGCCGAGTGATTCGCTAGCTTCATAAATTGACTGAGAATAATCATTAAATTTAATAAAACAACACTACGTTTATCTGTTTGAAAATAAAAGAAGCTTTGCACATCATATGATCAAAGAATTAGAAAGAATAATCCATAAAAATTCAGTTTAAAAAGCATTCGGTTTGACTTACCTGGAAAAGTAAGAAGCGAATGACCTAGAAAAGAAGCCCAAACTATGCAAGAAGATTAAATTAAATAAATATCATGAACCACCTAAAAACTCAAACCATTGACGTTTTGGGGAAAGTAAAGTCTAAGCAAGAAAAACAGAGGCTTCAAAATTCTGCGACTTCAATTCATTGTAGGAGAGTATAATAGAGAAATAAAATAAATAAATAAATAAATAAATAACTGAAAAATGCCAAAAGCAATCGATTACAACTATTATGTGGGAAACATGGATCACTTAATTGAAATTACTATTTAAACCAAATGTACTAAAAAAACAAAAAAATAAAATCATTAAGTTGTTGAAGCCATAGCCGAGTCCGCAAATTAAAGAACGTCTTTCAGTTCATATTTTTTTAAATCATTAAACTGGGGGGGGGGGGGGGGGGGGGTTATGAAATTACTAGAAAATAGTTCAATAGCCTTAATTAGAAGAATAATCAAGTGAGTATCACAACAAGTCTATTCAATCAGATAATGGACGAAGGAAAGAGGTGCACTAGAAGCAAAGCTAAGGCATGAACCCTGGTAAATGTAACTTTACCTATGCTATATAGCAAACTTCAAAATGCATCAAACTAAACATGTGAATTTGTTGTTTCTCTAGAACTGCCATCCCTGTAGGAGATTACAAGAAAGTGGTAAATTAGAGAGTAATGTAAAGTTTTTGTTGGAGAAAACATTAATCTGTTAATAAATAACCAAAGGAGACACCACATACCTCTTGTTGTTTGTTCTTTATAAACGATCCAAAAGTTGTATCTATCAACTTCAGCTCCGGAGTAGTTGATTGCCCGTTTGTGAAAACAGCTATTTCCGGACAATTTTTGATTTCCAAAGCATCTAACAATGGCCATTCAAAAGCCTCCTTTCCTAGGCATATTCCCTTGAGATTTGGAAGG